TAGAACTGTTGTGTTACTCACAAGCGCAAGGGTTTGGCAACTTGCTGAAACACATCACGCGATGAGTGTTATCGAGTCGCCGATCTGTGTACATATGCATTGCTGTTGTCTTGTTGAACGCCGGTAATTTGGGATAATTCTGTCGTTAGGTTAAGGTATTGTTCAGAGACAGGATAGGATCATCTTTAATAATAAGCACTCTATTGATCCTAGATGATGACAGGTAGTTTATCAATACCGTATTGAAATAACCTAACCTAATCCCATGCGTTGCGTTATCTGATTTACCCACAACCAAAAACATANCTGAATCGATTCCTGGTAGTGGTTCACGTAAGAAATCAACGAGTCAAACCTATCGACGCGTCCAGTTCCAACCGTACAACTTCAGAGGTTGAAATTGCTATAATATACTGTACCCGGGGTGACGACCAGGAAGATGGCGAGAGCCAATTCTGATCAAGACTGCGGGTTTCACTTTCTTCGTCGCCTTAGAAACGATAATACAAAATAAACATTATCCTGCATCGCGTATTTTGATAATTCAAGTCATGTTCTCGATTAGTGGGAAATTCGGCCTCAGCAACGGTTTATTTCATAAATGTAGTGGTCACTAAATCAGCCGTTCGGTCATTGAATATAGTATGCATTCAAGCCTGATGGAGAAATCTACCAGTGCAGTTTCGTCTTTCTACGGCCTTGTTCACAGAGGTGCTGTGCATCGTCGATGTCTGGTTCATTCGCAATTTGGAGCGGTGGTCGTTCAACGTTTTAGGTAACGAACAACTGTCCGAATCTTCCTCTTCTGTGTCTCCAGAAAATACTTGATTAGCTGCAGCCCTTCACCATCCTGAAGCTTCAGTCTACAACCGTAATTTATAAGCAATATGCACACAATGACGTTATTCCCTTGGGCATTAATGTATGCTCGTCAGATTGATCTAATTTCTAGTTCCAACTGGCTTAAGCAGCTTGATAATAAAGTAACTGAGGTTTTGGATGGCATGTTCATCTTTTTCATGATGAACGTTCCAGTATGGCCAGAAATGCGTTTTTCGGTCAAATTACTTTACTGTCTTAAACCGGTATTCAGAATATGCTCCGAATGACCTGCCTTCATTGCCTCTACTTGATAGGTCCTGCTCACTGCCTTATTTGGTTCAGTCGAAAATCGATCTAATAGATAGGCGATTTATCGGTGATAAGACATCTCCACTGCAGTTTCAGTTTGTTTAACCCTTAACCATGCACTTTCGTTTGGTGGCCTTGGTTGCTGCCTCGTGGCTTCTCAGTTGGATGAAGTAATAGGGAAAAATGGGAAAATTGGAAGTAGAGTCGAAGAGAAAATTGAGACTTGTAGTAAACTAACGTTACAATAAAATTGAGATGCACGAACGCCACTGTTTAAGCCAACCATATCACTCAGTGTCTCTAACCATTGATTGCAATAATTCCCGGGTCCACATCCAGGGAGCCTAACGCGATCTATGAGGCCCAGCGTCCTGTTTTGGGTTTTCATGCCCTCATGCCAGGTCTTAGTTTGACCACCCGTGACCTTTTTCTATTCGCTACCTGCCTCGGTAAGCACCGCTCGCCGTGACAACCTGTTTGGTAACCTACGCAGTACATGCCCCAACCAGTGTAATCTATGGAATTTGACCACTTACTCCAGTGGGCGACTGCAATTACGTAAAACTCTACGCCTAACCTTAGCATTGCTCGCCCGGTTTCCCCAACAAGCTCGTTGAGTGGGACGTAGACAATGGTGTTTGAATACCGACAAGTCTCTGCACTGCATAGCAGAGCTGGCCAAACTGATGCAGCATCCACTCGGCCCTTCGAAGGTAGCTGGACGTCGTGACGGCACCAGGGATGCCCCAAGTTCGCAAATGCCACCCGAGCGTGACCGAAGCTTCTAAAGACATGTGGCGAAAGGCTTGTGGGTTTCGATTTGGTGTATTGTTCACTGGTGCGTTAATTGACTGCCCGCTGTCCGGGATCGGCCCTTAGTCTCATGCACCGAATGACACAGGCGGAACGTGGAAGAGACAACAGCTTATTGACTGGGGTCTGCCTAGCTTGGGCGGGCAGTAGCTGTCCAAAGAAGA